ATCAAAACCAAGAAAACACAGACACAAAACAAAGCACGACTCAAATTTTGTTCGAACTTTTGACAAAAACAACAGAAAAAAAAACAATACAAGAATTACATTACCTTGAGCTTTCAAGAAGCAAAACCAGGGAAGAAGAAGATTACTAATGAGAATAGTAATACAAGGAAGCAGAAAATTCAATTAACGCAAAAAAGATAATAATCAAAGGATGTAATGAAATGGGATGGAGGAAGAAGTGAGCTAGTGGCTCTTTTATACACAAATGGAAGGCTCTCTGCGTCTAACTTTCCCATGGTTTTAATTTTACTTCCATAAAACCGCTTTTCATTTGACCTTTTGATACGAGACAAATAGTGTAAGATGCAATACTTGATTAATAGTGGACATATTTTATGTGGTTATGGATACTATTTTATAAATATTTATTATTTAATTTTTTTTATTATCTAAAAATATTTTAGAAATTAAGATATTTAATTGATTTAGATATCTAAATAATACTCGTACTTAAATTGGATACAAAATTTATACTATCTATTTTAAACAGATTAAATTAGGTTGGCTTAAACAGATTACAATTAGGTTGGCTGAAACAGCGAGTGGGTCCCCACGATTTAAAAGTGCGAAACAGGTAGCTCCAGAATTAGATTGGCTGAATCATCCACGTCCGACGTGGCTTTATAGGACAGACAAAAAATGTATTATTAATAGGACTGTAAATGAGATATATTATATCAAAATTTGATATATATTTGATTCGAGTAAGTTAGATTTAAGTTCTTAATAAGTTTAAAAGAGCTACTTGATATTCGACTTGAAAAAATCACGAGAAATTAAAAGAAATAGTATATTAAAATATTATCTTTTAAAATTTTAAATTATTAATGATATTAATATTTATATGTTGATTTTTTTTATTTCAAATTTATTAAAGCTTCATTTCATGGTTTCGAGATTGAGTCGAACTTGAAAATTTCAGACTCACGATTTTTTATACTGAATCAAACTCCATTTTAAAATTTTCAAACCAATTCGAGTTCAACAATACTCAAACTTAACTTAATACATTTACAGCCCTAACTATTAATATAAGAGAAATTGCTTATTACTTTTTCTCAAAGGCCACTAATCATAAATATATTCTATATATATATCTCATAATATCATTTTAAATAATTTATAATATTGTAAATAATTTTTAGACTATATAGTTAAAATTCTTCTGTTGATATATATATATATATATTAAGTCGGTGTTTAATATTCACTAAGATTAAAATTCTCTTTCTCCTTCCCGAGTAGAAACTATTCAAATAATAATAATTTATAATGTTGAACCCACTAAGTGATTTAAATAATAATAAAAACAATAATCTTAAATTCAAATAGTTGTATCAATAGTGTGTACGTCATGGATAAGTTAAAACATATATGAGTAGACATTAATTTATTATCAACTCATGTTATTAAAAAATTATATTATTTTTAAAGTTTTCTATTTAATAAATTAATTTAATCTCCAAACTTATTCAATTGATTTTTCTAATCTTGGAACTTGGAGAGGAAAGAGAATAGCTTCCGGAAAACAAAACCCATTGGCTAGGCGTTCTGGTTTTGGTGTCACTAAAGATATTTATTTTAATTTCCATTTTCAAAAATCCCTCACATGGCTTGTGAGTTGTAAGTGTGAAGGCATAGATTTCAAAAAATATACATGTAATATAATTTTATATAAATTCTTTATTGTTCAGTTAATAATTATTTTTAAATAAATTTTAAATATATATATATATACACACACAATGTCTTTTACCTATAATATAAATATAATAAAATTATTCTCTTAATATACATATAAATATAATAAACTCATAATTTAAAGATTGCAAAACGTTTTATTTGACTGTGTGCAGACCGCAAGGCGATTTAAAAGGATTTAAGAATTAAGAGGAACATATTTTTAATTCTGGCAGAAATAATAATAGTTTTTAAAACTTATGGTTTTTCCTTTAATTAAATAATAATAATTTTGGAAACCATATAATATTTGTATGCTAAATTGGTCAAATCATTGCTTCAATTGTGAAGAGATTTTAAAGTTATAATATTTAGCTGTAGTATTAGATATCTGTTAAATATGCAATAAGCATTAAGCAATAAGCTAAGAAACAGTTTGGTGGGAGATAAATTTTAACCAATGTTAACTAATTAATTGTCATTAATCGGATTAAAACCAAATTTAAAGCGGGAGATAACGGGTAAACTGGGTATTTAGTCAACTACCTATTTTCGTGGTTTTGTTTTGGTCATTTAAATATATTTTTTAAAAATCATACTATCAACATATTTTTATTTTGTTTTAATCATTCGTCATTAAAAATTTAACGGTGATATTGATGTATCGCCAAAATGTAAAGTAACATTTTCATTGAAAAGTACATATTTTGTTTATTTTTTAATAATGAGTGATTAAAACAAAATTAATATGTAGCATTAAGTATGATTTTTTTTTAAATATAGTTAAATAACCAAAACGAAACTGTTAGAATAGATAGATTGTTAAATACATAATTTACCTTTGTTCGGTGGGGGCAATGGTTATTAAAATCAAAACATAACATTAAGTATGATCTATAGTTAAATGATCAAAACGAAACTGTAATAATATATAGATTATTAAATATATAATTGACTCTTGTTTGGTGAGGGGCAATGACGTGATTAAAATAAAAACATGATATTAATCGTGATATTAAAAAAATATAATTAAACGACCCAAACAAACTATTAGAATAGATAGATTGTTAAATATATAATTTACTCTTGTTTGGTGGGGGCAATGACGTGATTAAAATGATGGGGTTTTGTTAAAATTATGCCATTTCTTTGATAAAAAAAAATGACCACTTTTCTTACGTTCCAAGCATAAACAAGTCCATTAATCTCCCACTGATTTTTGCATATGTTATTGGGATTTGACTCGCTGAACTTCATCATTATTTTGTTATGCTACTTTTCCCCTCAAATTGTGGTCGAAGATATCTTTAATACATTACCAAAAGTGAAATATCAATATAATCAAGGGTATAGTATACAAATATCCGATTATAAGATATTATTTTGTTGAATCGTTCGATTATTAAAAGTTATACAATAGTCTCTCAATTATAGAAAGTTATTTTGTTGAGTCACTCACTATTAAAAGTTACAAAATGATCACCAAACTATTTATTATATTTCAAATGTGTCCTTTTTAGTTAAAAAATTAACGATTGTTTAAACTAGACGTGAACATACTGACTGAGATATGATGAAATTATGAAATTAATTTTATTATATTTCAATCAACATGTTAACGTCCAACTTATACTACCTTCAATTCTTTAACGAAAAATGATAACTATATAACATATGAATAGTAGTATAATCATTTTATAATTTTTAATAGTCATTGACTCAACAAAAACAACACCTTATAATTGGAATCATTTTGTAACTTTTAATAGTCAATTAACTCAATAAAACAATATCCTATAATTAAGAGACCACTTTACCATGTAATCAATAACTAAGAATATGTTATCGAATTATTATTATTTTTAAAAATAAAATAAATTCAAATAAACTAATTAAATCATAGACTTTTTTAAAATCAATTATTTTGAATTGATGAATACACCATGAACTATTGAAATAAAGATAATGTTTTAAATATACACACGTGGCACTTGATAAGTTGTCGGGTGTTCAGCTTATCATCCTTCAATTCCCCGATGATTTTGATTGATATGATTTGCATTATCCATATGTCACATTGGGTCTTATACGATAATGTGTCATCAAATTCTCTTTTGTGATGTAACTTCTTCCATCCAAATATAAAGCCACATTTTGCATGTGATTTGGTGATAAAAACAACTCTCAATTGTATAGGAAATTTTGACTTTGATCCGTGCAAGATTTTCTTATGGTGGATCATTAGCCTTTCCCTGTTTACACGTTGAACGGTTGAGATGTAAATTTGAATTTAAACTTGGTTTAAGGGTTTTTTTTATATGTAATAGATTCAATTTATCAATTTTGTTCCTATAACATTTTTGTATTAATTTATTCCTTAAAGTTGTTTAAGGGTATCATACTAGTCCTTCAAGTCCGTTGATCATTTTGACTAATAGAATCGTGAGTTTTATGTGACTGCGGATTAAGGGATTATATTAAAATATTTACTAAACACAATGATTAAAAAAAATCCTCAAAATTTTATTATTTATTTCATTGTGATTAAGGTATTAACTTAAATTTTTAGAGATTTTTTCTAACCATTATGTTTAGTAATTATTTTATTATTTACATTTTTAATAAATATCACGTCATCATCAAGTCATGTCAATAGTATTGGCTTATGTGGAATTACTAGCGTCTACAGACGCATAAGACTAACGGTTTTGTTAGTTAAAATATACTTCGAGGGCTAAAATGATGTCTCAAAAGACTTTTAGAGTTAAATTGATGCGAAAATATTATACGAGTGAAAATGATAAATTGAGTCTACTACAAAGACAAAAATAGCCCTTAAGCCTTTAAAATTTGATGTTTATTGGATTGCTACTTTTGTAAGATAAATGATTAATATTGATAGGATAAAATAATCGAATAAAAAAATAAAAATAAACATTGATATTCTAAAAAAATTAACATCATAAAAATAAAATTGTCCCAATTAATTAAATTTAAAAGTAAAAAATATCATTATTCATTGTTGGATCAACTTGAGATCAAACTATATTAATATTTTAATCAAATGAATATGATCGACGATCATTTTTTTTATTATTAAAATTTTGACTTTTACGATAAATGTTAATTTAAATTTTTTAAATTTTTTACGACGACAATAATAAAAATAGATTTTAAATTTAATTGAATATGGGATTGAACTGAAAATGGTCAAAGGACCCAGTGGATTATTGAGATTCGAGGCCTCAAATTAAATTAACAGATTGGGCCGCACCATTTTTTATCAATAGGTCAATCTGAAGTGGGCTCCACTAGCGGTTCCAAAACGGTTAGGGAAAACGGACCCCACCAATTTCAAATTTTTACTGCTCCCCGCAGGTGCGCGCACAGAACGGGAAAAAATTAATATTAGAATAAAAACAAAATAAATAAAAGCACCGTTACACCGCAGTTCTTCCTTTTAAACAAACAAATCCAGAAAACAATTATTATTTCATTCAAAAAGAACATTCAAAATACTTAGAAAACCCTGAAACGAGCATTTGATTTTGAAATTCGCTGATACGTGGCGTGTGTTTATCTGCATTTTGTTGAAATATTGACTGGCTCCGGGCGATTTTTCAAGGACCGGAAATTAGTAAGATTTTGGAATTCACTGGTAGTGTTTCTATTTTTATTCTTTTTCTTGAAAATACTTAATTTTTTTTTTTTGGTTAGATCGATTTGAGAAGGTTATATTTAAGTTGAAAATAGCAAAAACGGAAAGCATATAAAATTCTTACCTTATATATAAGTTTGATCGCACTGTTATTTAATGTTTGATCTATTTTTTTTCTTGATGAATTTCAGATAGAATCTTGAAGTTATTTAAGCTGATTCCGATTATTTTTTAAATGCATTTCTTTATATTCTATTAGCAGTGAGATTAGTTCCGAAGATGGTCGGGACACCAGCCACGCCGTTGTGCAAGATACAAAGGACTCCGGCAACCACCCCCGGAGGAGGAGCCAAGGTTCGGGAGGAGAAGATTTTGGTGACGGTTCGGATGCGACCGCTGAATCAGAGAGAACAATCAATGTATGATCTTATTGCTTGGGATTGTGCGGATGACCATACCATCGTTTTCAAGAATCTCAACCACGAACGCCCAGCTAATCAGTACAGCTTTGGTATCTTATTTCACAGATTATTGTAAATTTTGATTGGTTGTTTAGAAAGAGGAACCTAGGTCTTTCATTAATGTTTTTTCTAATTTTGGATAAGTTAACTTAAATGTGGCAGACACAGTTTTTGATCCATCGAGCTCTACTCGAAAGGTTTACGAAGATGGGGCTAAGGATGTTGCATTATCTGCTCTTACAGGAATAAATGGTTAGATTTAGTTTTGTATTATTTTTCCCTTTCATTAGAAGCAAGAAGCCTTCAAATTGGGGTTCAACCAAATTTCTTTATTGTACAGCAACAATTTTTGCGTATGGGCAGACAAGTAGTGGGAAGACATTTACAATGAGAGGAATAACTGAAAATGCAGTGAAGGATATCTTTGAACACATAAAAAATGTAAGTTACAATTTGATAAGGAAATTGCTGTATTTGGATTTGATCTCGAAATGCTTTTGTTAATTTCAATCTTACAGACTCAGGAGAGAGACTTTGTCTTGAAACTCTCTGCATTGGAGATTTACAATGAGACAGTTGTAGACCTTTTGAATCGTGATTCTGGTTGCTTAAGACTTTTGGATGATCCTGAGGTACATTTAAATGAGTCATTTCTTTTTTATATTTCAAACTTTTCCCTTCTTTGAAACTTTTTTGTGTGTGTGCAAAATATAGCGAGGTACCATTGTGGAAAAACTTGTTGAAGAAGTGATCAAGGACAGCCAACATTTGAGACACTTAATTAGCATTTGTGAGGGTAATTTCATAAATACGAGATGTAATTAATTATTTATCTTGTTGGTTAAAATGACATACGCCTCTTTAATCATGAACATTTTATATTTAATTCTTCAGAACAAAGGCAGGTGGGAGAAACAGCTTTGAATGATAAAAGCTCAAGGTCACATCAGATTATCAGGCTGGTAAGACGAGTGTTAATTTTTTCTTGTTTATTTCAAACATTTATTAGTTTTTTTAAGCTTATTTTGATTCTAATATATATATTTTAAAAAAATCGATTTGGTTTGAATAATTCTAGTTTTTTAATATAGGAACTAAAATCCAAACCGAAAATCAATCTTCAGTTTTCTTGATTTATCTTATTCAGCCCTACTAGAAGTTGGTTATATAGATACAAAGTTGATTTCTTAGATTTGTCGTTTAATCAACAGAAATGCCTCTCTCTCACACCTATAGACTTGCACATTTTCAGGTGGTTTTACGTCAAGTCACTACTAGCCACTTTTTGATCATGTTTTGTACATGAGTATTATATTCCATAAGTGAAATCTTACACTGCTTGGTTCACCACTCTTTGCAGACAATCGAAAGTAGTCTTCGGGAAAATGCAGAATGTGTGAAGTCTTTCTTAGCAAGTTTGGTATGTTTAATTATCTTTTGTTCGGTTTTACATTCTTCATCATAAATTAACAAAAAGTCAAATATTGCAGAATCTTGTAGACCTCGCAGGAAGTGAACGTGTCTCTCAGACAAATGCTGATGGTGTAAGATTAAAAGAAGGTAGCCACATCAATCGAAGCTTGTTGACGCTCACAACAGTGATTAGAAAGCTGAGGTAAGCTAAATCCATCTCGGGCTATGGGGAAATGATCTTTAAAAAACTTTTTTTTAAAAAAAAAAAAAACATACAGCAGTTTGGCATTGCATTGAAAGGTGCTAATGGTTTGTTTTGTCTGCAGTGGCGGAAAAAGAAGTTGGCACATACCATATAGGGATTCAAAGCTCACACGAATACTGCAAAACTCACTCGGGGGGAATGCTCGAACAGCTATCATATGTACCATAAGCCCAGCTTTAAGTCATGTGGAGCAAACTAGGAATACTCTCGCTTTTGCAACTAGCGCGAAGGAAGTTATTAACAATGCCCATGTAAACATGGTAAGATAAGTGTTCGTTTATATAGTGTCTTCCAAATTCTTTATGTTGTAATTTTGGACTGTTTTTGAAGTTAATCTTTTGTTGGCATTTCTTCCATGCGTGGAGATCTCTACTACTAGACCAGAGAAAGCTGTAGAATACAAGAAAACATAAGTAGAGGTCTACACCAATGATGAAAAAATGGCACTGAACTAACTGATTGGTCCAATTCAACATGTATTCAAAGGTCTGTTCGGTCCGAGAGCTGGTAATAGGGGGGCCATACCAGTTTGACCCTCGGTCCTATTTTTTTCCATTGACACACTCCATGTTGTAGAATAACAACTAGCACTTGCCGTTGGTTTCATGACTTTTGAAACGTTTCAGAAGTGTTGCATGTTTACAGCATGCTTATAAACAAAGAGGGTAGAGATACATGTCTGCTTGCTGTACCAAATAAATAAGTATAATGCATTCTGCAAAGCAAATTCTGCGCTTCATTGCTAATGCATATAGTGTTCTGACAAACTCTACGTTATTATTCTTTATGGGCTTTCTTTGCAGATTGTTTCAGACAAAAGGTTGGTAAAACATTTGCAGAAAGAAGTGGCAAGGCTTGAAGCTAAGCTACGAACTCCAGAGTCTACTTCGGCTTCATGCCTACATTCTTTATTGATGGAAAAGGAATCGAAAATCCAAGAGGTATAAATTACGTTGTTCACACTTCATTTTCTTTAAAGCATCCGTGTTGAATATCATATCTGACGTATGTAGACAGGGGTCAGAAAATATGGTTCTTCAAATGTAAGGAAGAACTTTAAAAGATTGAGTATACTCATATCAGACAAATCACCATTTTCAACATTCACCCCAAACTAGAGTAAAATAGGGTATAGATAAATGTTTACGAGGAAGAACTTTATTAGAGTTGTTTGTACAGGGATTATTCTCGTCCTCATAATTTAGCTGTTGAAAAAGAACTCTTAACTTGCAGATGGAGAGGGAAATGGAAGAGTTGAAGCGCCAGAGAGACATTGCACAGACCCAGCTAGAACAAGAAAGAAAAGCACGCAAAGTACAAAAGGTAAATATTAGCCATCCCGTGTCTTACACTTGTGTGCAGTTCGATCATCTTGTAACTCTCAAGCTTGTCATGTTTCCAGGGATCGAAACAATGTGGACCTTCTGGCAAAGGAGTCAGATGTCTCTCTTTTGATAATGAGCCAGTTCCAGGCTCTGTGGATGTTCAGCCTAGGAAAACAGTTGGAAGATATTCGACACTAAGGCAGTCAGCCACAAAGACAGATCCGTCCATGCTTGTGCAGGAAATCCGGAAACTCGAGCAGCGACAGAGACAGCTTGGTGAGGAAGCAAACCGGGCACTTGAAGTTCTGCATAATGAGGTTCCTTCCCACAGATTAGGGAATAAAGAAGCTGCTGAAGCAATAGCAAAGATGCTGTCCGAAATCAAGGATATGCAGGCAATTAGCTCTATTCCTGAAGATATTATGATGGTGCATGGGACTGACTTGAAAGAAGAGATCACTCGGTTGAACTCTCAAGGCTGCACTATTGAATCTTTAGAGAAGAAGCTTGAGAATGTTCAGAAGTCAATAGACATGCTGGTTTCATCGATTTCTAATGGAGAAGAGACACCAGACTTTAAGACCCAGGTGAAGAAGAAGAAAATTCTCTCTTTCCCGTTGAAGAACAGAGCGAACATGCAAAATTTAATACGGGCTCCATGCTCACCATTGTCCTCTTCTCAGAGGATAATGGAACAAGAGATCGAGAACAAGCCCCCTAAGGATAATGAAATAGTCTCCTCTAGCAGCCATAGATCACCTGGCTTGTTTAAAACTCCTCGGAAGGCTGATGATAAACAAGTCTCATCAAGAGAGGGAACTCCATCTACAAGGCAAACCAACTCAGTTGATGTGAAAAAAATGCAGAGGATGTTCAAGGATGCAACCGAGGAGAACATACGCAGCATCAGAGCTTATGTCACTGAGCTGAAAGAACGAGTTGCTAAGCTACAATATCAGAAGCAGCTTCTGGTTTGCCAAGTGAGAACTCTTGACACTTCTTATGTCGAGCATTAGCTAACGTCTTGATATTGATATTTTGCTAAAAAAAAACCTGTCTGAAACTCCGCCTTTGCTTAGGTGCTGGAGCTGGAAGAAGCAAAGGAGGCTGGAAACGAGGAGGCAGATAGTTGTCTTCAGTCTCCAATGCCATGGCACGTGGTGTTTGATGATCAGAGGAAGCAGATTATCATGTTATGGCACCTGTGCCATGTTTCGATTATACATCGTACACAGTTTTATTTGTTGTTCAGGGGAGACCCAGCTGATCAGATATATATGGAAGTAGAGCTTAGAAGGTTGACATGGTTGGAGCAGCAGTTTGCAGAGCTTGGCAATGCAAGCCCGGCTATTTTAGGCGATGAACCTGCAAGTTTAGTTGCATCAAGGTCAGTTAACTGAAGTACCCTCGGATATGGTTATATAGAGATTTTCATCTAAATACCCATCAGACTCGCACCCTTTTTTTAACACTCCCTAATCCAAATAACCTAGGATCGAGATAACAATCGTCGAGTTCATAATTATTGCTTGTATGAAAATTAGACACATCTGACTCATTCTGATCCTTGTAAGGTAGTATCGAAAATACCCATCGGACTGTACCCTTTTCTAAATCCAAATAATTTAGGATCAAGACAACAACCTCGTGTCCGTGATTGTTGATTGTATGGAAACCTATTCATCCATATTCCACACTCATATTTAGATACATACTCACATCCGAATATAATTATTGAGATATTATAATCCAAGGATCCTATTAAACATACCACTAAACCCGAATCAAAATAACATAGGATCACGATAACAATCCTTGTGTCCAAGATTGTTGTATGAAAACCTATTCATATATGTTCGGCCCTCATGTTTAGACACATATTCATATCCGACACTTGTACTGAATTCGTACTCAAATGTAGAGATAACAATATTATTGTGTGGTGTTGAAATTTGCAGTATCAAAGCACTGAAGCAAGAAGGAGAGTATCTAGCAAAGAGGGTGAGCTCGAAGCTGACGGTAGAAGAAAGGGACTTGCTGTACTTGAAATGGGAGGTTCCGGCAGTGGGCAAACAGAGGAGATTGCAATTGGTTAACAAATTATGGACCGACCCATTGAACATGCAACATGTGCAGGAGAGTGCCGAATTGGTAGCTAAACTTGTTGGATTTTGTGAGTCCGGTGAACATCTCAGCAAAGAGATGTTTGAACTCAACTTTGTTAACCCTTCTGATAAGAAGTCTTGGATGGGGTGGAATTTGATTTCAAATCTATTGCATTTGTGAAAAGAAGACAAATTAACATAACAGGTAAGTTGAAAACAACCCTCGATTCTTTGTTATATTGATTAAAATATGATCTTTTGTCTTTTAAGACTCTCTGTGTTTGTAAATTTTACCCTCGAAACATTTTGCCAAGTAAGTTGAAAACACTGATAATTTTGCAAACCGAGTGGACGTCCGGTGTTTTTTTTATGACCGGTTCAAATATTATTCTTGTATTACTTTTATTATTATAGAGATGTTTGATTCACGTATAATAATATTAATAATTTTTTGAGTTTTATTTTAATATTTGTTTATAATATTATTATTTTTAAATATAATATAGTTTTGATTGAGAGTTTGAGACAATGCAAACTTAATTCGATTTTAAATTATACTTTTATACGATAATTTGACTATAAACTTATAATAATGAAACTGTCATTCAATCGAATTTGATTCAATAAAAAACTTGTTAAACCCAAAAAAAAATGTTACTATCAGGTTCTCTAGGAGTTGTAAAAACAAAAATGTAGCTACAAAGCTAGAAAATAGTTATAGGAATATTTTTTTATTGATTAAATAATTTTTACTTGTTAAAAAAATATATTACCAGAATAATTTTATAAAATTTAATGTTATTAATCATACTATATAATCTTATATTCCTATCAAATAAAATATTAAAGCCATGAACCAACATACTCTGAATGAAATGATAATAGATTTACATACAAATTAATTAATTGTGTTTTTTCATTAATCTAGAGTGATTATAAAAATAGTATATATTATAAAGATTCTTAACAATTTAACAATGAAAGTTCAAACACATTTACGATCTTTAATGCTCAAACTTGAGATCTCTAAAGATAACAATCATTCCTTTAACCACTAAGATAACTTAATATATATGTTAATTATTTGTGTTTAATTATTTAAATATAATTTCAATTATTTTACTAATTAAATTAGCGTTGATTAATATGTGACATCAATTCAATAGAAAATTTTATATGTTATACGACACATTTAACCACATTTTTTATTTAATAGATCTTAGATAAATATAATATATGTTCAAAAACAATCGCTTGACAATAAATGCTTAAAGCCCTACATACATGGTGTTTAAATCCAAGACCTCAAAAAATAACAACAATCTCTTACTCATTGAAATTGTTTGGTTGGTGCATTTTTAACCACACTTAACAAAACTAAGACGGTGCATTTGATATAAATATTTTATTTGTTTAAAATTTTTGCACATTTAGCATGACAAATAATAAAACACCAAAGGTGATAAAAATACACGATTTTTCAAATTTTATATAATATAAATTATCAACCTATCAAATTTATATAAATATAAAAAAAATTAAACACGATAACGACAAAATACAAGAGGTCTAACTATAACTGTTCCTCCATTAACCGCAATGTTAGTTTTCATGGAGTATAGTTGAAAAAGGAGAGAAAAGAATCAATTTGATCTGAAATCCTAGAATTGGAGCTCCTTGAAAATAAGAGAGAGAAATATATTTACAAGACTGAAGAACCCTAATATGTCGATTTAGCGACGAACGAATTAGAAGAATGGATGATCTTATGAAATCATTTCCTTTTAACTGATGACTATGTACTCTGTTTTGGTAGGAATTAATGCCTTAGACATACATGACTGACCAAAACGAGTGCTTGAGGATGGATATCTTACCTACCGAGTACCCAAACAGCTGGTTTCACTTCTCCCCGGAAACGAATAAAACTTTAATGGCAAAGTGTCTGTCCGTTGTTTATCCACTGCACAAAACTATCGGAGAATTGCTCACGGATATTGGAGTCCGGCGAATAAGCAAAGGATATCCCGGATCCTGTCTGCTGTGTTCCCTACATGATTATATGACAAGGTTTAGGCGTTATCCGGTGCATGGGACAACAACAATTCATAGGTGAAGTTTTCAACCAGTATTATGAGTACAGACCTTAATATTCGATCCACATTCACAAGAGGATGGGGTTGTTTCGCCCAATATTCCATCGGCAACATTTTCAGATGAACGCCCGACAGCCGGGGATCCTGCAAGGACTTGTGACCTGGAAATATATATGTCAATGACTCAAACCACATTTTACTCTCATTATCTATACTCGGTTTATCCAAATAACTGTAAAACTACTAAAAGAAATTGAACATATTCGTGCTTGACTGGTATGGCAAAAGATTAACCAAGTTCTATCTTGATTCCTGAATGGAAAATGTGCACACTGATTCTGATTGCAAATAATAACATAAATCACTTTGCTTTTAAGTTAGTAGCTCCTTTATAACCTACGGTATAGGTCAAATGCTCATGACACACAAGTCACTAGTGTACGACAGAAAATACAATAGAGCTAAAAGTTTATGCATTTTCTACTGGAACATCTCATGCTACTGTAAAGATCAAGCTTTACACAATACACGGATTCTAGAAAACGAAAGTACCTCTCAAATTGTTCATCCTCACATGAGTTTCCAGAGGAAGAAAGCCAGTCTAGGTCAACAAAGTTAGAACAGTTGAATCTATCCCCTTGTTCAGAGAAGAAAATTTGATCAGATCCAAGACGGCGGTCCATTTTCACATGTCCAAACAGCTTCCTTTGGGGCATTAAGGGTGTATACCTAAACCAAATCAATAAAAAAATTTAAAGGAATAACCATAAATAATACATGCTACATGAGATTCGTTAATTATGGTAAAGCATGAAACAGATGGATCCAATCTGAATCATGCAGCAACTTTTAAACAAATCTTAAATTTATGATGGCATTGATATAAAACAGTAGCTCAGCCAAACATGCAGATTAAAGATTGAAAGAACAATACAAATAAAAACTGCACAGTCCATCTTATCTCCCCATAGTTTATGGAGAATAGATAGATAACTATGGCCATCAATTAGAAAATGTTGTGGGGGGGGGGGGGTTTTCCTTTGGGAGAAGTCTGCGAAGTGTCGTACGTCAGGCAGGCAGTCGCGGACCCTCAAAAGGTCCATTATTGTGTTCTCGAGATGTCTCTGTGTGGTTTTAGCCTCCGGGTTTTGTCTACCATACCCTACAGAGGAGGTGGGGAAGGGGAAGTAGTACCACTTGCCCATAAACGACCTTTAAGCCTTAGGTCATGGGTTCAAGTCTCACCAACAGCGAAATATTTACTCTCCCTTGGTGGGAGTTCCTTACACCCTCTTTAAGGTAGTAACTGAGGCTATGAGGCACTCCTCACACACACTTCAGGGTATGCGAGACAAAATCCCAGGGGCAAAACCATACATAGACACCGAGGAAACACAATATCAGACTTGTTGGGAGTCTGCAACCAACCGCTTGGTGGACAACACTTCACAAACTTATCCCAAAGCAGTAGGAGACCCCCCTGAACAGAAACAAATGACACTTCAAGTAGAAAGAAACCTTGAGTATGATATATCTCTTTCACAAGATGAAATCTCAGGTGATGACTCTGAATGGCCATTACTTGCTCCTTGTGACCGGTTAAGCATAGTTGAGTCCTTAAGTTTCCCTTGCTTGTCATTTCTGGCTGACATAGGCGACTCACTTTGACGAAGAATGCTACCATCAGAAAGGGATCTTGGAAAAATTAACCTGACATTGAGGATTAGGAAGTATACAGAATAGCATGGTGAGAACCTCTTACCAAGCATCAAATGAGTAGGTAAAATAATCATATGACAAAATACAAAGTCAAAAACTAAAATAAAGAAGAAAATCAAATGCAAATAACATTTTGATAAATCATCATCGTATATCACCTATTATTTCATTATGTTACATCAAGCATGTTAAAACTGTGAAAAAGAATCATATATCTTTTTTTTTGTCAAAATTGAAGACCGAATAGCAACAGAATGAATTCTGTGAGAAGAGCACCATGGCATCAATCCCAGAATAGTATGACCTAGAATCCATTCATCTTGAAAAATGAAAACGTTAATGGGAAATATAATAGGCAGGTAAAACCAATCAAACATAACAGCAAGTCTATCCGTTCACTTCCACCAATATCGCACACAGACTTCGATGAAGAAAAGCTTCTCGAGTAAAAAAATATTTAACTTCAAAGATGTAAAATCCAGTGCAAAAGAATCAAAGCTAAGGAATTCAATCCATCTCCATTCCCTAAGACAACAAGGTTGATGACGAAATCTATAGCAGATGGTAGAACAATGACATAACTGTTTGGATTTGCATTCTCACAAAAGTCCTAATGGGCTTACTCATACCAGCTTACTGTCAAAACCCAAATGAAGCCCCCATAGCCTTAATTTTCTAAATAACGAAAAAGTTGAGCATTCAAAACTAGAAACAACGAGATGCATATTGACAGAGAAATGGTTCCCCAGGAACAAAAAGAGAAGGGTGTTTGTTGTCACACTTTATTCCTCAGTGAATAAATTTTAAGATTTTTTTATAAAGCAGCCTTCCATCTTAATCCACAACTGTGTCCCTATTTCTTACCAATATCGCTGATTTGAAGCCAATTCCCAAAGTGCAGGCATTCCAGGCTGGGGCAGAAAATTCCCGAGGAATCTGCACAGGGAATTATTCAAATTTTTCTTAAGATCTTATTAATAGCACATTCTTAAGAAAATAAGTGAAAAAGAAAATTACAATTGAAATGTCAAATTGACAAAATTTCTGACAAAAAAAGGAAGCCATTTATTCCATTGCAGTAGGATGTATTAACCCAAACAGGCAAATTGCATTCACTTGCAATTTTTAGAGCATGATATTTAAATACCATTCAGTGTTAACCGAGGCAGCCATCAATTTCACCCACGTAATACGACAGAAGACCGTAACTTACAGATTAATCGCATCTTGTTTCTCTGCATCCATATATGCATTGCTATAATATCGTTGAAGAGTTCTAAAGAACTCCTGGGACTGGGTTGCTGCTCTCCACTGACCCCGTCTCTCGGAGAATATCTGCATAGATATAGAAAAATAGAAAGTTAACTGACAGAGGATGATTGTATTGGAACTAAACTCTGATACCAGAATGAATGTCCTAACTATCAAAGCAATTGCTATACTCCTCCCATCAGCCATTGACCACCACTGCTTAAGGACAGATATAAACAACCACATAAAATTCTCGAAGGTTATTTGATTTTCTTTTTTTCTTTTTGTAGTTTCAAATTAAGTGATGTTAGATTATGCCTACAGCAACTTTTCACAGTCAAATCAAAAGGAGAAAAAGCATGGAGGAAAAAAATGCAATTAAGAACAGATTAACAGGTTGAAAGTTGGGAGCTTTGAACTCTAGCAAAAGGGGAAATCTTATTTCTATTAAAATTATTCGATAATGTGGTTCTTTTTAAAAAAATCAAAAGAAAACTACTTCAAATTCCAAATTCACCATTAATTAATATCAATTATTAAACATAATATTTGACATTTCCATCTTCAATAAACAAACAATAAGAAAGAGAAAGAAAGAAAAATGGAAACAGAAAATACAGAAACTAAAGAAGCCCATTCTATTCCAATTCTGGAAACTGCATTTGGTCACAAGTAGCATCCAAAGTTGGAATTACCTTATTGTGAGCTGCAGAACCACCATATTGGTGTGCAAGTGTGTCGCCCATTCTCTCATAAAAACCCATTAATTCACCTGCCAAAGGGTCATCAAGATCTATCTTCGGGGTATCTTTAATCCCTAAAGTATGAAGCTGGTATCCAAGAGCAGCCAATCCATATGCATACTGTGCAACATTAGTGCGATCCAGACAGTCTATACAATTGGTCCTAAGCACACCTCTTTGGATTGTGGGAGGCTTGACGGAATGATTTCCATTAGCAAAATTATCATCAGCAAAATAATTCCCCTCCAATCTGTAAGCAACCTCATTAACATTGTTGCAATATTTTGGAGGTGACACATCAGCATCATCAATATCCCTGCTCATATTATGACAACAGAAATGCAATTATCATTTATCAACACTGAAAAATAGCAAAACACAAATCATCAAAAACAATCACACCATAATTGCATTACTTTAAGATTTTTTTTATTGTTAAAAAGCCAAAGTAGTTCATAAGCCACATACTTGCCTAATATAATAATCTAAGTCCTGACAAATTTGAAATACTAACTTATGATGGGTTTAAAAAATGCAAACTACTGAACTGAGAGAGAGAGAGAGAGATTGTATATACTATCTGGACTACATTCCCTTTTCAATCAGTTTAAATTATTTTCCCACACCAAAAGAACCCTAAAAAAAGCTAATTACAAATATTTCCGAACATTTCTTATACAAAACTGGAAGTTATTGAAAATGAAAAGCTTACTCAGAGGAAGGCCAAGCAATAGACTCGTCAGGTCTCACGGTTAATGTCACCCGACAATAAAAGAAACCTGTTAGTGTTAATGCATATGCAGCCACTTTGCCCAAAAGTAGCAAAACATTTGTCGATTGGCTGCAAGGAACAAAAATATAAGTTTTTTTCTGCTGGTTGAGAAAACTCCCAAGTATAAATGAGAAAAGGAAGAGTATGTGTGAGTTCACAGAAAAGGCTTAGGACACAAACCTCTGAAAATGTTTGTGTAGATCCCAATGAAGGAACCTCAAACAAGTCTCTTCCGACAAATCTTTATTGATAAAATCAATCACATGTGCAAACTCTTGACGAAGAATTGACTCTCGAGGCTTCTTTCCTTGTGTCTGCTCGTCACACAAAAGCATATACAGAATCTTATTATCAAATCATTCAAACTCATATCGTAGCTACATTGTAGAAATGGTACTATTTGAAGATTTTCTGCCACATGCAATATCTTTATGAAATTTGGCAGTTTATGAAATACTATAATAAAAATAAAGCACTGGATCAGTCTCATGCTATAAAGGAACTAAGGCATGCTGCAGAAAGACTCTAAAATGATACAAGGTTATATCATGAAAACTTACCTTGATCAAATTCAAAATAATTATAGGATTGCCGTATCTCTCAACAAGGTTTTCAAAATGAAGTCTGGTTGCTTCATAATTTTGGTCCTTCTTTGACACTGGAAAAAGAGAAAAGGATCAATATTTAGACCTGAACAAAAGAAACATGCCTGCAGTAACACTCTCTTAGGTTACAAATTCATACATATAATATCCGGTTTAATATTCAATCGTGATGTTTCTTGTGACCAAAAGAGTGGGATTGATCCTCTATTCTGGACGATGGAAGTTATTGGTGTGGGAAGCCCATCAGAGAAATCCTCAAGGACAATCTGCTCCGTCTCAACATCATTAGCTACTCTGCCTTTTTCATTTACTCCTCGTTTCAAATACCTAAATGCAAAATCAGTTGCACATGAAGAGAATAGACATAAACCCTTAACCTTCCATAGCTATATTACAGAATACAACATTAGCATGGATATCTTTCTTACCTGGTACCTGCATAGTGTCGAGATCGCCTTGCAATGAGTATAACTTTCAAAACCCGTCCAGATACAGAAAGTGTGGCCTACATTCACATAGCTGAATGTCAATCTAGGAAGTAAATATCCATTTAGGAATGTATAACAGAAACTGAATAAGCTAATTATAACTTCAAATGAGCACCATCCTTAACCTGCTTAAAAAAACCATACACCAATGCAACTGTCCATAGAGTATTCTGGAGGTGGTTGCGGATCCCTCGAGTCAGGAACTCGTTCCAAACAAACATGGTCTCATAAAGAACTTGATCTGGTTTATTGGTACACAAGTTCTTTTGAAGACTACACATAACATGGTATGAATAGCTAAAGAAGAAGTCCTTTGTAAGATCCACTGAACACAGGAGCTTCTTGTATCTAAAAAACAATAAATACAAACTAAATATATATACATATATATATGCATGAGTCATGACATGCATACAAGAAAACACACTTAGCTTAAACAATGAATATAAGGAAGATAAGAAACATTTCAAAGGACTCAAAAACCAGCATATAGAAACAACATACCAATAGGTTTCCACATATCGCATCAGGGAACAGAACTTCATTTAACATATTATTCATGACTTCAAGAATCAGGAAAAGTATATAGGTCATAGAAAAGAAGAAGACCTGATCTCATCTTTTTCATTAATGCTCGAGTTAACAGTTGAATTAGGGAGGGGAATCATCTCACTCTTTGAAACTGCATATACATTGTGACCACAAATTGCACCAATCTGTCTTCGTTTTGTAATGAGCAGCATATAGTAAGGTCCCAAAAATTTAATAAATCCTAACATGTGAAGAAAAAAATACATAATTAGATAGGGAATCACACAACATTAATAGTGCTCTGAAAAATAATGAGAAAAATTACAACATCCATACCAACAATTCCATAACAAGTGGTAACGAATTTCAATCCACCGGTGGATAAATTTCCTTCATGTATTCGCCTGAGTAACTCAGAACATTCACTCTCGGTGTAAGTGGTAGAATCTTCACTAATGTTTAGCTTGGAAGGATCCAGTCGGTCAATTTTTAATACTCTCCAATATGTTCTACGCTTATTCCTCCCAATCATATAAAAGTTCTGAACACAGAAATCACAATGCAATTTCAAAAACAAAATCCAGACACTTCATTTGATAATTCAACATTAAAACAATACTATTTTAAGTATAATTGCATCTAAACCAGTTACTGAGAGCAATAATTAATGAGATCAAAACAAGTAAATGAATAATAATAAAATTAAAAACAAAAATAAATGAGAAATTACCGATAGAGTTTCATAGAGTCTGAATTTCTGCATGTAGATAGAGGTTTGAAATTGGAAGGAGCTCTCATTACCAATACCATAACTATTTCCTGCTGCGGATGATTCCATGATAAGCTTCTCTGTTCTCCGTTTGTCAATTTCTGGCTTCAGATCTCCCCGAGCACCGGGCTCAGGGAATTTATCAAAATAGCATGCACTAAGGAGGAAATTATTTATTCTTTGTTTCCTTTGAAAGAAATTTCCATAACTTATTCCCGAATTACCTTATTCTTTCCCAACAACAATCGCTCCTGCAAATTATTGAACTCGGCTGCTTCAAATACAACATCTTCTTTCACAGAAATGGAAATTTAACCTTTCCATATTCCAGCCCGATTATCTTTCCATTCACAACCGAACAAAAAGAAATGATAAACGCGTTGTCTCCCCAGAATTTTGTGATCTTCTCCAGTCACGGTTGAAATTACACAGATCGAATAAATCAAAACAAATATAGTTATCTAATTTTTATAAGGCTAAATAACGAAAATAAGATCTAGTTTTGGAAACAAAAAGATTAAACGAAAAAAAAGTTAAAATAAAATATATATTCGAATATTCGAATATATATATATATAATATAAAATAAACAGGTAAGCTGCTAAGCTAATATTACTATGATGATGATGTCGGAGTTTAAAATATTATTAAAAAACTCGAAAAAATAATTAAATATAAATTCTCATTTTTCTTCTCCTCCAGATCCAAAGAATGAACAAACGAAAACCACGACTAGGGGTGTATAAAAAGCTGATCCACCTGTAAAATTAATTCAAACTCATTTGAGTAAAAACTGCTTATTAATATACACTGACGATTTGAAATCGATTCGAGTTGAAATTGGTGTTGATCTGAACCCGAGTTAGACCTGTAAATTATGGATGTGAACTCTACCTTCACCTGACCTGAGAACAACTTGAATCTGAATTGAACCGAAAATATGATACCTAAACCCGACCTACATCCGACTGATATGAAATCGAACCCGAGATTGACCTGGTAAATAACTGGTATTACCCGACTTGTTTTCAACCTGACTTATAAATGATCGACTTGTTATTGATCTGATCTGATATTTATCTAACTTGACATTTACCTGACTTATATATTATCATTGATGAAATTATAAGATTTTAATAAATTTGAGTTTATAATAAATCATACTAATTAATATGATTAATTTTTAAATATTATAATAAAATATTAATTATGATAATTAAATTAATAAATATATTTATTATATTAATTATGATTCTAATATTATGATTCTTATGTTATAAATTTTCAATATAATCATTAATTTTATTTTATCAAGTAATTTGTGTATTAAACATTATTAATTAAATTAATTATAATGATTACAAGTTAGAATAATTTATTGGCATTGAAGATGGTTAATAAAACTATTTTAAATGTAAAATATATAGTTTAATTTATGTAAAAAATTATCTAATAATTATAACATATATAAAACATAATATAAAAGATGAATTTAATTGATATTGATAATGTAAATAACATTTGATATAAAATTTGAATAACATTTGATTTATTACAATTGAATATAATAAAATCACAATAAAATGAACAAAAACAAAATATTTTTTAGCTCTCAGATCTTATAACAAAAGTTTTATAAAGCTAAAAGTCTAATTTTGCTACTAGAAATTTCTTCATCGAGCTTTTGTATCTGTCATCACTCATTTTATCTGGGTGGTAACATGTGGCGTTTTCATATTATAATATAGTAACATAATAAATGTGTGGGCATGTGTATAATATATATTATGATATAGTATATAATTGACATATTAGATATATCATATATCATATTAAATAATAGTTCTATTGCATATCATATAGTTTCAAATCAAATAATTGCATATCAAATATATATATGATATTAAATAATTAGTATATTACATAGTTTATATTATATAGTTAGTATATACTATATATTTTGCATGTTAGAATAAATAATCCATATTAGTAAAACAAAAAATAATAGTATATTTCATTAGATAATAGTCTATTTCTATAATTTTTCCAAAGGCTCAAATAAATAGCCCACATTGTTACAAATATATGCATAAATAAATATATAAAAAAAACAAAAATTCTAAATTGCTTGATCCTTAACAGTTAGTTTTGGGTGTTTTTCGAGAGAAATTTTGTTACTTTGAAAAGTCAAATGTGAAACATTTATGGTGGTTTAGTTTTTTAGGTGATGGCATCATTAATCTCTAACCTTGATTAGCCTTCATCGAATGATCACTATTGCTTCATTCTATCTAAAAGAAACACAAATTCATGTGAACCCTTGGATGAGAAGCTAGATCCAATGGCTCCCATTAAGCCACATCATGCATCCAAGTGAAAAAGCAAGAACTAATCTTAACCATTTGATCAAGATTAGATAAAAAAATAACTAAGATTTCATCATCCAAAGGAGGTGCACTCTCCACCGGCACGTCCCAACCGGCCGGAGACATCGTCGGCGCGTCGCCGAAGCATGGGTCACATGCACCGGTCCAGTCATCTTCTTCATCAAGTCGTCATCGCACCGCTGCCGTTCCGCCTTCGTCGCTGATCATGTTTCAAGCATACAAAAAAAAAATGAACTATATAATTTATATATATATCGTTCATATGTAAACTATATATATTATATAGTATATAAATATCAAATATAGTATATAGTTTATATATAAACTATAATTTTTATATATAGTTCATATGTTAACTTTGTAGTATGTATAGTTTATATATTTAGTATATACTATATAAATAGTTTATTAATTAATGTATCCAACTATATAGTATTCATACATATAGTATATACTTTGAATTTATATAGTATAAATTATATAAATATCAACTATAATATATAGTATATAAATATAAACCATAGTTTATATAATTTATTAATAAACTATATATATATATATATATTTCATATGTAAACTATATAGTATATATAGTTTATATAAACTAATGAACTATATATTTTATTAATATAATTATATAAACTATATACTTTATATATATATATATATATTATAATTGTTTTAAGTTTTTTTCTTAACTTTTGAAATGAATGGAATTTACTCTATTTTTCAAATTTGTTTCACATTTTACAATTATTTTGATTCATTATTTTGTGTTCTTTACTTTATTTAAATTTTAATTAATTCATTTTCATATTTATTCAAGTTAGTCGTTGAATTTATAATTGCATGTGAATTTGGCCCATTTTTATTTCTTATTTATATTTTTGTAATTAGCCCATAACTTTTTAAATATGTATAATTTAGTCCTTTTTATATTAATTTCAACCTTAAATTTTAAAATTATTTTGATTTGGTCCCTCATCAATGCGCGTTGTTTGATTTATTTAAATTTTTATTTAAAATTTCATATTTGTTCAATTTAGTCCTTAATTTTACATTTTTCATAAAATTGATCCATGATTATTTATATTCTTAGTAATTTACTTTAAATCATATACAATTACCAATGGCAATTTAACGTTCGCGAAAGGCGAAAAATAATTAATGCAAAAATAAAAATTGACCCGATTTGAACTCAATCCATATATAATAATTAATCGTCGCTGATCATGTTTCGAGCATGCAAAAAATCAAAAAAAATAGAACTGAACTATATAATTTATATATATATCGTTCATATGTAAACTATATATATTATATAGTATATAAATATCAAATATAGTATATAGTTTATATATAAATTATAATTTTTATATATAGTTCATATGTAAACTTTGTAGTATATATAGTTTATATATTTAGTATATACTATATAAATAGTTTATTAATTAATGTATCCAACTATATAGTATTCATACATATAATATATACTTTGAATTTATATAGTATAAATTATATAAATATAAACTATATTATATAGTATATAAAGATCAACTATTGTATATAATATATAAATATCAACTATACTATATAGTGTATGTATAAACTATAATTTATATAGTTTAAATATATATATATAGTTTTTATATATAGCTCATATGTAAACTATATAGTATATATAGTTTATATACATAATATATGGTATATAAATATAAACTTAGTATATAATATATAAATATAAACTATAGTTTATATAGTTTATATATATATAGTATATATAATAAACTATATATATAATTCATATGTAACCTATATATATTTTATAGTATATAAATATCAACTATAGTATATAATTTATATATAAACTATAGTTTATATAATATAATATATATATATAGTTTATAAATTAGTGTATTCAACTATATAGTTTATACTTTTAATTTGTACAGTATAAATTATATATATATATTTCATATGTAAACTATATAGTATATATAGTTTATATAAACTGTATATACTATATAGTTTACATATGAAATATATATATATATATATAATTGTTTTAAGGTTTTCCTTAACTTTTGAAATGAATGGAATTTACTATATTTTTTAAATTTGTTTCACATTTTACAATTATTTTGATTCATTCTTTTGTGTTCTTTACTTTATTTAAATTTTAATTAGTTCATTTTCATATTTATTCAAGTTAGTCATTAAATTTATAATTGCATGTGAATTTGGCCCATTTTTATTTCTTATTTATATTTTCGTGATTAGCCCATAACTTTTTAAATGGGTATAATTTAGTCCTTTTTATATTAATTTCAACCTTAAATTTTAAAATTATTTTGATTTGGTCCCTCATCAATGCACATTGTTTGATTTATTTAAATTTTTATTTAAAATTTAATATTTGTTCAATTTAGTCCTTAATTTACATTTTTCATAAAATTGATCATGATTATTTATATTCTTAGTAATTTACTTTAAATCATATACAATTACCAATTGCAATTTAACATTCGCGAAAGACGAAAAATAATTAATCCAAAAATAAAAATTGACCCGATTTGAACTCAATCCATATCTGATAAATATCTGACCTGAATTGTATCTACAAATGATGTGACCCGATTTGAACGAAATCTGCCTGAAGTCCATCTGAACCTAAATTAACCTTGTCTTTAGCTGCTTCGGACCTGAACTGTTTTGACCTCAACTGACATCGATCCAAACTGAAAATAACTCGACCTGAACCCGAACTGAACTTGGTGTCAAATCAACCTGAAAATGACCCGACTTGATTTGACCTGGACCCGACTTGATCCGAGTCAAAGCATCAAATTGACCTGTATCCGATTTTACTCGACCTGACAGGATATGACTGAAACCTAAACGATTATCTGATTTTACATACCTAACCACAACCTGGCTGACCGCTACCTCTGCTTATAATAATATTTACTTAATTTTATTCAGTTATACATTGTTAGTAGTTTTTTTTAATTTCATAAATATAAATTATTACATCCTTCAGAAACAAAGTTAGGGTAAACTATAAATTTAGTATCTAACTATCACTTTTGTTCTATCTTGGTAATTCAACTATTTTTTTTCCCCAAAATCATACCTA